ATATATAAACATATATTCATATGTGCAATATATATATGTATGTATTTACGTATGTATGTGTGTATGTGGGAATGTATATAGAGAAAATGAATCTCCAGTAGTGAGAGAAAAGGGGCTAAGACCTCTCCGGATCTTTGTGTCCAGAGTTGAAAGAAAACTGGACCATCATTTTCAATTTTACGTTCTTTATTAGTTCATTTCACTGGACTAACCAGATCTCTTTTTCTCCCTTTCTTCAACGGTCTGGATTTCCGATTCCTTAGATTACAGACACAGAAATACGGAGAGAATCTCAACTAAGGAGCCGGCCTGGGACATGCATGGATGGACTCTCATATGTCAGTGTGTGATCATATGAGACATTGCAAGCGAAATCATGTTAACGAGTAGGAGACATAGCAACCCATCATATCACATGCAATCACGCATATTGCTGCTGCATGCCTGCAAGTTAATTGCTACTAATAATTTTGTTTCCCCTGATTTAAGGACATCGAAGCATGCCATTTACCTTCCAATATATATAGGCCATAATATATAAATATAATAAAAGGCTCAAAATTGACCAACCAGCTACCTCTCAATCTTCTAAAGCGATTAATTAGCTGATGATCCCATGAGATAGATGTAAATATTGATATTATTTCTAGGGCCAGGAATGATTTTTCATGTTCGTTTTTACCTTTTGCATATTTTTGTTTTGAATTCTGATATTTGCTTCTCATTTAATCTGTCCTAATGAATGAGGAAGAAAAAAAGACGAGGAAAGAGAAAAAGAAAAAAAAAAAAAACAAATACAAGAGCTGAAAAACAGTGTGCAGACATTATTCCTCTTTTTTGTTGACTAATTGCTACTAACAGTTCTCGTTGGTGAACGATTTGTAAATTCTCATGTAAATCTATATTAGTGGTAACAGTTAGTTAGGTCAGATTCTCGCCCTAAACCCTAATTTTGTATTACTTTGGTTATTAATTTTTTTTTAGTATAAACTTAGTGACTAACTGCTACTTAGTACGACAGTTTAATGGTATTCCTTTTCACTTATAAGTGAGAGGTTAGAAGTCCGATTTTTGATAAAGACGATTTTGAACCATATTATTACTAGCCTACTATGAGGCTTAGCGGCTACTCTCTCTCTCTTTTAGTGTAGATAATATCGCTCGATGAAGTAGTATTTTCTAAAGGTATTTTAATAATGAGTAACCAATTGGCAACCTTTTTAGTATACTACTTAGTTACTTTACGTTCGTAAATTATAGTAATATCATGTCATCATAAAATAAAAACATTACATTACAGTGTGATGGCTATATTTTAATATTTAAATAAAACAATGCTTGCGTTTTTTTTTAATGAAAACTTATTTATCTCTCCACTTACAATTGACGAACTATTACCTTCTGAACTTCATAAACAAACTATTCATTTTTTTTTATCATTATTTAAAAATTATATTTATAAAAAAATTATTCAATTTAAAGACCGTTTAAGACTTTCCTCCCAATCTGTCGGAGATCGGCATGCATATCGGGACACCTGACCTGGATCATTGGGAGCAGTTAAATAAAGTATTAGCGCAGCAAGTTGTCATGGAATAATATTATCTTTTCAATTGGATTTGGACGTATACCTTGTTGGATTTGGACGTCAATTAGGTAGAGACATTCAGAAATTTATTTTATTTTATTTTTTTATTAGAGAAATATCTTCCTAACTTACAATTATTTTTCTCGGCCACCCAAATTTTTGTAATAAGTGTTGATAATAGGTTAAAATTGATGCAACGCTTCATACTCGATCAGTCTTAATCTTAACTTTGTTTACAAACCACAATGTGGTTCTTCTCAATTTTTGTCACTTTATCAGATGAACATAAAGTCTACGATATGATGCATTTCTTTTGTCATTTCTCATTTTATTACTAGATTATGAGAAATTAATATATTATAAAAAAAAAGTGATGTTATTTAGACATACAAACAAACACATTTGTTAACGCGTTTTCTAATATATGTTATTCATATACAAATAAAAAACACAAAAAGTGAAAAGATATATACAACAAGGGTAGTACTATTCACATACTCATTTTTACATCTCACACACCCTTGATATCTTTTTATCATTTATGTTATTCGCTTCATTTGATCTGATGGTCGAAAATTAAAAGGAGTGTAAGAAGTAAAAAATAATGTATGTGTAGCACTACGCATACAACAAATAGATATCTGATGAGCTTACATGAAAATGTCACATAGATAAATACCAACAATAAAACAGTGGCTAATACTTCAGTAGAATGACACGGCGAACAAAGTGTATTTATCCAAATTAGAGTCAAAGAAAAACACGAGAATTCCAATTTGGAGTCACTAATTCAAATTATTTTGTATTTGATAATTTAAAAAGCACTTTCAATTATTTTTTTGTGTGTATATTTTGCTTTTGACAAATATGATTTTTGGACTTACAGAAATTTCTAGTGTTTTATAGTGAAAATGCAAGCCAAGCCGTTGTAAAAGCCAAGTAAAAAAGAACTAACAAAAGGAAAAGAAAACAAATATTAATTAGAGAGACACCAACGAAAGTAAAAAATAATCAACGAGTGCGTAAAGCAATCAGTGTTTTGTATCATCTGCTTTCGAATTACGAAAAGTTATTCTTTTTCACCTTTTCGAAAGGGCTTTTTAGTCAAAATGATCTCTGAGATTTGTATAACACATTACTTTGGTCCCTGAGATTTCAAATCAATAGAAGTGGTCCCTGTGATTGTCCACTATCCATTATTTTGGTCATTCCGTTAAAAATTCCTTTAAGTGTTCCGGAGCTCTTGGCCAGAAGTTTGGGCAATTTTCAAAGTTTCGTAACTCAATCATTTTTTTAACTAAATTCGACTCATAATATATCAACATGCAGATAGAAAGTGTAGAATAAGAGTATAGCTATTTATAAGCCCAATGGTTGCTGGAGATGGCAAAATTGACTGGTCCGAATGAAAACTGAAAATTCGCCGGAAACTGATAAACTTTAAACGTTCTTAAATTCTTTAATGCTCAATGAAATCAAGTGATTCAAAAATGAAAATCATACTTCTCAACGAGACGAAGAGAATGATACCTTTTTTTTATGGATAGCCCATGATGGTTTGGCTGAAAAATGGCTTGAAAGTAGCTAACTTGAGACTAAGATAGCCACTTTCGAGTCATTTTACGGCCAAACCACAGCGAGTTAGCCATTGAAAAAGATATCATTCTCTTCGTCTCATCAAGAACTATGGTTTTTGTTTTTGAATCACTTGATTTCGTTGAGTATTGAAAAAGTTATAAACATTTAAAATTTACCCAATTTTCAACGAGTTTTTCAATTTTTCCTTGGACCAGTCAACTTTGAGGTTATTTCTCGACTATCTCCGACAACCATTAGGCTTCCAAATAGGTATAATCTTATTCTACACTTTCCTATCTTGATTTTGATATATTATGAGTCGAATTTGGTTAAGAAACGATTGAGTTACGAAGCTTTGAAAATTGCCCAAACTTCTGGCCAAGAGCTCTATGACAGTTAACAGAATTTTTAACGGAATGACCAAAATGATGAATGTCGGACAATTTCAGAAACCATTTCTATTGATTTGAAATCTCAGATACCAAAGTAATATGTTATGCAAATCTTAGGGATCATTTTGGCTAAAAAGCCTTTCGAAAGAGTCCCCACTCTTCTCATGTTCTTGGCCTTGTAAGAATCAAATACAAATTGGTTGAAAATTTATATCAGTTTATATTTAAAGATTAAAAATATTTGACAACTTAATAAAAAAAACAAAAAATAAATTGGTTTTGCTTTCTTTTAAGTTGTCAAACATTTAAAACCTTTAAATCAAAATTAATATAATTTTGTCATTTCGTACTACGATCTAGTGATATTTCTCTTCTTTTGTAAGTGAAAGGTTTTAGGTTCGATTCTTGTCAAAAGCGAATTTGAACATTATTGTTAACTCATTGTGAGACTAAGTCCACATCCTTCTCTTTAATATAGATAATATCCTTGGCTCAAACAAAAAAAAAAAAAAAAAAAAAAAAACCTAAAAGGATCTTAAAAGAACATGATTGGTTTCGAAAACTCATTTTCTCGCAAGTGGCCATTTATCACAGTAGTGAAAATGAATTGAGTCCTTGTATGACGATGTGGGTTTGAATCTCAATAGTAACTAATCTAACATTTAATTTAACAAACTTTATCATATGACAAAAAAAACAAATAAATAAATAAATAAATGAGTCAAACAAAATGAAACCACCCAGCACGAATCAAACAAAATAAATAAATGAAAAAAAAATATAACAAATAAAAAATAATAAAAAGGAAATTATATTACTTCTCATCAGAGACTTCGATGACTTTGAAGTCCACAAACAACCAAAGTTCTAAAAGACGTTAAGTGCTACTTTGAAATCCATAAACAACCAATGTTTTAAAAGACGTTAAGTGCTAATCGAGCGGTGGGCTGGGACCTAGCACCTAGGCAGCCAAGCGGGGTCTAGACGGGCGTCTAGAAGGATTAGACAGATTTAAGTAGATCTATTATATTTCATGTACATAAGTGTTGGTTTGTACTTAAAATATATATAATTTCATCATAAACTACAAAATAGACTGATATATATATTATGAAGTATTGGAACATAATGAAAACATGAGGAACAAACATATAATGTGTATTCATTTAAGTATTCAACAAGTCTTTACAATTTATTGAAAATAAAATAAAATGCAAAATGAAGTTATCTATTTTCTGTTTAAATGAGTCGCAACCTAGACGGGTGTCTAAGCGAGTTTGGGAGGGCTAGGCGGGTGCCTAAGCGGTCTAGGATCCTCAGCAGATCTAGACATCCTTTCTTAATTTTTAAACGCTAAGATATTAATCCGGTGATGGCCAGCCACTAACATAGATGTTTAGAACAGCGAAAACAACGCACCTTTATAAGTCCTTCCCCCTCTCACAACTTCCTCATCAGCCTCTCTCTCTCTCCTCTCTCTCCTTCTCCCTCTAAGTTTTCACAAAATTTTTTTTCTGCGATATGCCACAAGTCGATTTGGAAACACTAGTTTCAGCGTGTGCGGGGGGCTCAATGGATCGGAAAATCGCCTGCGAGACGCAGGCTGACGCCACCACTGCCGGACACGACCGGCCGGAAGAAGATGCCGATGAACCGCAAGTTGCGCCGGATTTCCCGCCGGAATCCTTCTGGCTCTCGAAAGACGCAGAGTACGAGTGGTTCGACCGCAACGCCTTCTACGAGCGCAAAGACTCCACCAAAGGAAACTCCAACGCCAATAACTTGAATTCGAATCAATATTCGCACTCGAATTCGAGCTCGCAGCGGTTTTCGAAGAACTTGAAGTCGAAGGCGGCGATCATCGGGCTTCCGAAGCCGCAGAAGCACAACTACGCCGACCCGAAGAACCGGCGGCACTCCAAGGCCGGAAACACGAGACTGTTCCCGAAACGGACCGGATCCGTCGGGAAATCGGACGCTCCGATGATCGAGCCGTCGTCTCCTAACGTCTCGTGTATGGGGAGGGTGAGATCGAAGAGGGATAGAAAGCGTCGGTTCAGGAATCGGCACGGATCGTCGGCCGAGACGTCCATGGAGAAGTCCGTTAAACCGGTGGCGGAGAGACGAAAACTCGGTTTCTTTGCGAGTTTTCGGGCGATTTTTAGGCACGGAGTACACCGGGAGAAATCGGCGAAATCGCCGTTCGTGGAAGTCTCGCCGCCGAGAAACAGCAGCGTGATGTCGACGTCGAGAGCGCGCGACAGGGCGGCGGCGTACGATTTCGACGCGCTGTCTATCGAGTCGACGCCGAGACACAGCGTGGAGAGCGAACCGCCTGGTTTGGGCGGCATGAAGCGGTTCGTTTCGGGTCGGAGGTCCGGGGCGTGGGCGGGTGAAGTCGGTGTCGACGTTGCGTAATTTGGCGGGGCGTCTTGGAAAACTGGAAGGAAAAAGGAATCGTGGTTTCTTGATCCGACGGGGATCCCCTGGGCCCCACAGTCACGAGGAAGCAGGCAGCAAGTGGGTTACGGTCGTGATTGGTAGTCTGAGTAGGACCCGCTTTCTTCTGTTTAATTTGCGTTTGGAATGACGTGGCACGTTGAATAACGGTCTCCCGAGTTAAAACAATCATTTTGCTACAACGTTTTCATTCGTTTTTTGTGTTTTTTTTCCCACTTCACTAGAGTATGTGAGGTTGTGTAAATAGATATGTTTTTGGAGTGAACTGTTGTAAATTTGTTTGTAATTTTGGATAATAATGTTTTGAAGAACCATAATTTGGGTACAATATTAGCATTTTTTGTCGTCAAAAAATCGATGCAATATTCTTCCCAAACTAATCTGAGCGTAATATAAACATGAGTGCAAGGGAAAGAGAACATACGCATAGTGGCGAATTCAAGATTCAAACTTTAAAGGGTTGCACGGTTAAAGGTTCAAATTTTCTAAATAGAAGCATGGGCAGAGCTGACAAAAATAATTTGTAGTTTATTCACTGTGCCATTTCTACTAACACTTAGTGGACTTGTTTTTGTTAGCTAAATCATTACACAAATCAACATATATCATCATATGCCGAAACAACTTAATGAGTAATATCAAGAGTATTTGTCAAGGATTATCGACGTAACATGTCGAGACATCCTTAGTCGACACTAAACATTAAATCAAGCACTTGGTGGACAAAAAAGAACTCGTACCAACCAAACACTTTCGCTACGGCCAATTAATTTGATTTTATAGGTAATTTAACATATTAGGGCACTTGGAAAAATGCAAACATGAGCAGCGATGCATTGACCACATGGGGTTTAAGAGCGGACGGAGGAAAAGGAGTTTTGGCCTACCACAGTAGAAATGGAGTTGTCTTTACTTACTTTTTCGAATTTGGTATACCATCATTTCAAAATAATAAATGTAATATAATTGAGGATCAATCTAAGGGTACCCCTTTTAGAAGGAAAAAAAATAGGGAAGTGGAACCTACAAGTCCCATAAAATCAAACATTGTCCTGATGTCATCTCATCATCATCAAATGAAAGGAAAACATCATAAAATTAAATATTGAAAAGAAACTCGTGAAAACTTTTGCATCGTCTGAGCATTTTGTCAAACACTAATATAGACATAAACGCTTAAAGTTGCATAAACAACCTTTGCTTTCGTAGCACGACAATAGCTCTTTATGTGACATTTGTATGACATATGTAGCCTTTATCTTATGAGATCTAGCTTGGTTTTTTAAAGGGTAGTGCTTTTCAAAACTCATTTTTACCTCTCAGAAACCCTTATTAATTTTTGTACTTTGATTATCTTCAATTCATTTTATTCGACAATTGAAATTGAGAGGGGTGTGTGAGAAGTAAAAATGGCTTATGAATAGACACACCCCTTTGAAATTCAGGTGTTTGAACAACTACAGGACTCAAGTTTGAAATTTACAAAAATTCAAGAGTTAAATCGTCGCATCGTTTTCAAGTTATGATCATGCAGTTTTTTCTGACATATTGGATCTTGTTAATCAGAAATTTTAGATTTATAGACATATCACTAATCCTTTTGTTTGACCATGAAGGTAATATAATTTTGATGACTTTGAAATTAAAAAAGAAAGGAAGACTAGATATGTGCATCATCAAGTCTTTGTTTTACAGTTGAATTAGGCGTTCTTGACTTTGAAAGAGAATCCATGATGTGAATCCCTTGGAACATTGACTAGATGGTTGATCACTCTCATTGAAAATGTCCACCTTGCCCGGCAACCTATAGCCAAATGCATTACATTCCTGTTAAATATTAATATTAAAATTCGTGTATTGGAAAAACTTGATCCAAAAACTAATTAAAAACTCAGCTATGCAACACAGTTTTATAAGGTATTTATTTATTTAATTTAATATATTAGAGAGTGAAAATTCGGACTTCGCATATATTTAAAGACTAAGAACAAAAGTATCGGTAGACTTTAGTTGGTATTTTCAAAATGAGATTAACATAATTCCTTATTTTAGTAATTGAGATTTAAAATTGATATGACTAATCCCTAAAATTGTTCACCGTCAATCATTTTGATTATGTTAGAAATCTCCGTTAAATTGAGTGTATATTTTTTTTTAAATCATCCCCTTCCCTTAAACTGGTGACTTATTTAATTTAACGGAGATTTTTTTTTACAGAATGACTAACATGATTGACGGCGAAAAATCTCAATGACCACTTTTATCAATTTTAAATCTTAAGGATCAAAGTAAGGAGTAATAACAATATCAGATACCAATTTGGCTAAAAGAACCTTCAAACTTTTTAAAACAAAATTAAACACGTATTTTTAGAGTACCAATAGCAAAAGAATTTAATTTTATAACATCCAAGGCAGCTATTTTTCTACAATAAAATTAGCTTTTTTTCTTCTCCCTTTTGGGTTCTAAAATATAGTGCGAGTTTATATTATCAACTGTTTTTCTTTGATTATTTAATATTTTGGAACCATGTTAATTTAATGATAAATACAGATGATTAACTAATCTGTAATTCCTTAATTTCATTACAAAATTAAGGCGTATATTCCGTAAAAGAATGAAATAAGTCGTCGTCAGCTTGATGAATTCCCAGTTAGTCGTATTGGTACTGCATCGCTGGTCCTGTTTGCAATCGAGTCGAAAGGGATGGTCAATTGACCCAATCATAGAATCCACCGCATATCATGTGCTGGATTCGGAAGGGATTTCCATTTTATTCAAAAAATAGGAATTAGTTGCAGGACATATTTTACATTGAACTTTAACGATTTGAACAATTTATTTTGTAAATCTCAATTCATATATCATTCTTGTAAAAATCAAATTTAATTCGAAATCATTTGCCTATTTAATTATCACGATGAAATTTCAAGGTTTTCTTAGAACAAAGTATTCGTCAATTTCTTTGATTAAATGCCTCAAATATTTCTGATTTTGGCTAATATTTTGTAAGGATGATCTATGAGGTGCAACTTGAAAAATAGACGGTTCAGATTAAAGTTCGTCGTGGTATGGATCTCACAACTAATCCTAATTTTTTTTATATAAAAAAATGGAGATCACTTCCCCTAAAAACCTCCTATATATATTGTTTAGGTTCGTTAAAAAGTTACGGAATGAGCAGCATAGATATTTTATTTGAAGAATCTCTCAACAAAAGTGCATTATGAGTGTACATATACCATCTATAGTTTAGTACATCATTCATAGACCATCATTGCAAAAAATTAAAAAAAATCTAAAATCTTTAAGTCATCCAATTGTAGTGAAGGATATAAACGAATACTATTTTTCAAAGAAACATTAGTATGACAACCGTTTAATCCAACGGTCAAACGGTTTCAAATTTGGGTATTTTTGATAGAGAGAATCTTTAAGCGAAGACCTGAAAAATAGACATTTGAATCGTTGAAATACGAAGTAGAGTGAGCCCTACAAAAAATCCCTTAATGGAAGGGGACTGTTAGATATGTATATATTATCAACTTGAAAAGAAGGAAAAAAAAAAGGTACACAAACTTCCCTTAATGGCATCTGGTAAGTATATTCCCTATTGACAAACAACAGCAAGGTCTATCCAATTAAGTGAGGTCGGCTATATAAATCTTAAAACACCATTGCACTCAATTAAGTATATTCCCTACTAACAAACATGTAAAAACAACCCCAGTTGCCACAAAAAGTGGCAGAGTAGGAGCTCACCTGTTGACAACCTCTTTTCTTCTCAGCTTCAGAAACAGAGATGGACAGATTCTCCACCAAAAGTTTGAGGCTCCACTTTGGATATGCACCATTTGCTTCAGTCCCCACATTGTGAAAGATATATCGCATACCCGACGCTTCCTTTTGGTACAACATTCTTCTCAGATAACCTCCAAAACTAGTTTGATCGTTAATGCTAGGTCGAGAGTTTGATTAATAAGACGATTAGAAGGATTAGGGGCAGAAGTTATAGCAGAAACAGTTTCTCTAGGAGGGTGACAATGCTCGAGAGATCTGGTTTCGAACATTTTCTCGAGAGTTACAGCAAGAGAACGGACTACTCCATAGTCTACGTTTAGTACTATGTACTCCAGAAAACGTTCCGAAGATATTATCCTAGGTTCAACAGTGTCTTCATAACATTAATCTTCTGTTCGGTCAATATTTCTAGTCCACGACCGTGGATCTGCGAACTGTAAGGGTGCAACTCTCAGCTAACACTGGCAAATCTTTCTTTGACTCATTGACAGCACAAAAAAGTTGTAAAAAGCACAAATTTCCTTAAAGAGGGGCATTCTTTAACTGTGATTGAACAATGTACACCGAATCAACGGGTGAAAAACATCAATCTTCGATGAAATTTTCACTAGCCAATAAGGCAAATGTATCAGGAGAATATCTCTTTTTTTGGTCTGTAAGACGAGCCAGAGGATCCCTTCTTTTACATTTTTCTCCGAGGAGGAGGGAACTAAAGTCTATATCATAGCCTCAAGCATACATACATATATACTACAAGTATCGAAATGTAACTTTATTGCATCATGTTGAACAAAACATTCTAACAGACGGAGCATGAAACCGAAGCAATCTACTAGAAAACGATAAACTTGTACACATCCAATAATCTGTTGGATTATTTTGGTATATGGGAATACGTCGAAGACATATATACTTTCGTAGTAACAGAAAACGCGAGAAAATATACAACACAAAATTAAAAAAGATATAATGAAAAAGTGTGCGTTCTTTAGGAAAGCATTACTTACTGTAGAGCATACGTTGCTCTTAGATATTCCGCAATTTCTGCACTTTCGAACATTTCCACCCCCGTATTTGGATCTTCTAGGTAAGGAGCCTGTCAAAAACAATGTTAAGATTGAGACCGTCAAGTTACTAATTCACGGCATGTCAAACGGAGATGAAATCTTTCATTCTCTTACAATAAAATCACAGCTTCAGGAAATCATTGTAGAATATTGGAAGTACCTGAAAACGTCCGGTTTTGTCAAACAGTATTTGTCGTTTTGGACTGCCACGAGCACAGCTGAAAGGAGTATTCATAATATGTCTCAGTAATATACTTTACATCTTTGTACACAAAAACGGAAGCAGATGATACTGAAAGGAAGGCTAAATAAGTTCTTCCAAAGACGATGGGTTGATTTGAAAGTTCACTCAGAATTGTGTATTACTCGTATTTACCTGCGATATATGTGAGGCAGTTCTAACTCTACAAGTACTTCACGCGCAATTTTGCAGAAAGGCGATCCCTGGAAGAGACAAAAGGTTCAAACTAAAGCTTGGCGTGCGTGTGATTTATCAGTATATATGTATCAGTAAAAGAACCCAAAATTCATATGTAAACATGGTAGCAACACATGCATATATCTAAAAAAAGATCAAGGGCTTCTCTAACCTCATATGCCCAGACTACAAGTGGTTTGGGTGGTAGTTTTGATGGAGAATAGCTAGAACCCTGAAAAGAATTATAAAACAAGAGATTGATCAATGAAGTTTGTAAACAAATTACATATAACGGCGAAATCTTGAAAACCTAACAAGGGCCTTCAATGTGGACAAACTTTAGTGTTTGATGCATCGTGCAGTTAATGAACTAGGCATATACCAGGAGGGCACACACACCCTGCTCCCAACAAAGCAAAAGAAAGAAGTTGTGAAAGGATTTACGGGCTTAAAAGGAATTCAAACAAGCTAACCTTTCCCGAACGACCAATCAAAGCAAAGCCTGCAGTCAAAGTCTGCAATAAAAAACAAGAAGTCCACACCAGAAAAATTAATTAACAACATACTCTACAGAGAAAAAATTGATGATGATAGAAGAGTCAAATGCTAACCGTTAATAAACCAAGTGACAGTGCAAGAGGAACAGTTCCATCACCTGCACAAACATTTGGGGGACCGGAGATAAAAAATTTTAAAAAGAATTTTGGTATAAATCATTGGTATGATTGCATAAGAGATCAAGGGGATAACATGGTTAAGTAAAATCTCTTATTCAAGAAAGTGTAGCTTCTGCAAAAAGCAAAGATAAAAAAGGGAAAATGCATATCGATATAGAAGCATAATTTGTAGAGCCTAGTTATACTGCCTCCATGCCAAATAGTTACCAAAAATTTGATGTATAAAAACGTATCCAAACGTTATATTGTAGTTGTATTATGTATCTAACTATCTAATATCTATTCCCTATCATGTCTGTGTAAACTGTAAAATGAAGGTAAAAGTGACTAGCAAAATGAATGCGACCACACGCACCATACTTCCCGACCAAGTACTTGATTATGTCATCGGATTCATACATTGAAACTCCAGTGTTCGGATCCACCTGCAACCAAACACAAACATTGAATTGTAGCTGCCACTCAAAGCCATTGTGATATGATAACGAGCTGAAAAGAAGCTGTATGTTACAGCAGGCATAAAAACAAAACTAAAGAATGATGGCGACAGCAAAAACTATGAGAGCTATTTATATTTCATTGAGTTTTAAAAGACTTAGCCAAGAGAAACTTTAGATTAAGCTTAGTGTTTTTCAAATGTGCTTTTGTTGATGGAATCGTTGAACTCTATTTTCAAAAAACAGTAAAATATCTAACCATGTAAGGGAACTGCTGTTTTCCGCCCATCTCAACAACCTTGCGACGAAAGTTTGGACCACCTTTTGGGCAAGGATAAAATAGAACATCGAGGTCCAATACCGCAACGATTTCCCTAACCTATACATGCATAAAATGTCAATCCACAAAATAAAGAAGGAACAATAGGTATATTCAGCAAAATACATCATAATCAATTGACAAACAGAAGCAATGGACTTAAGTTACAGTATTCCTATGGACCTTAACTGCCATAGAGACACATATTTAACCAAGATCTTGACAAGCAAAGCATTCCCTAAATTTCCCAAAGAAAAAGGAAGGAAGCTTCCATATGTATATATACATATAATCTATGGAAATTCTTCAGAACTAAATAAAAAGGTATTAGGGATGAAGTTACCTTACGGCAGAATGGGCAGCTGTACATAATCCATGGTAATCATATGTCCGGGCAGAAAGAAAAAAAATACATGTCAGTTTCACAGATGTATGGATAAAAACTTAGGGGGTGCCAGAAAATGCTAATGAAAAGAGCTAAATTATTGAAACAATATTATGGTATGAAATATATAGTACCCTTCAAACTCATATATCTAAACAAAATTATGGCATGAAACATACCCTTCAAACTCATATATCTCAATAGGCTTCACCGGGCGAGGGCCTACTTTTGAAGTCTCTTTGACCTTAGAATCTGTTACATGAAAATTGAACAGAAAGAAAAAATATTGAAACCTCTTATACTCAGGATGCTGTAACATAAGTGTTCAAAAAACAAACCAAAAATTCGTATTCACAACGACAACAAAATGCTTGATGACGAAAACAAGTTTCATATAGCAGAAAGATCACGATGGCCAACATAGGAAATAACTGCTCCATAACTTAAAAGTAATTACTTTAAGTTTCCCCTATCTGATTAGAATCAATATACACTAATAACAGCCATTTAACAACTAATTTCTTAAATCATATTCACTTAATTTCACAAAGGGCATGCCATAAATCATATCAACTCAAACTAACACGTACCATTGTACTCGAGAGCATACTGGTCCGCAGGAATATCATCTTTCGGAACGAAAGAGAAAGAATACCTGCCATTGTACAATCAAAACAGGAAAGGAAAAGAAAATGAAGTCAGAAACTGTATACTGCTAACACTACACAGCACAAATTTACAGTAAACAAACCCAAATGCAAAAAAAGCAACAATCTTTGAGTTACTGAACAAAAACACAACACATTTAATTAAACGAAAATTTTGATTACCCAGAAACGAAAACGCCAGTCCCCAACCGGAAGAACAAGGCAAGAGAAGCCCCGAAGATGTCCCAAACTTTATCAGGCCTGACACCGAACCGCTTTGGCTCCGGCGGCTTGAAATTGGGCGGAGGAGCAAATGTTACCGGCGGCGATGAAGGTTCTGGTTTGGTTTGAACAGAAGCTGAAGTTTGGGGGGTCTCAGAGGACTCTGTTGAAGCTCTAACAATACAGAAATTCCTCTTGGGTATTGTAGTTGTAGGGGATAAAAAGGGCGGGAAAATTGCATGGTTAATTAAGTTCAGAGCTTTGGCCATGGCTTTGGGGGGGGTTTGGATTTGGAGAGATTGAGTCGAGAATTATGAAATATAAATATGTGACTGTGAATCATTTGACTTTTTGGTGAACATGAAGACAGACATGTACTTGCCGTTACTAGATTTCCAAAGCAAATGATTGGTTGGGAACTGGGGATGGAGGAGTTACGGATACGACTGATTTGCTCCAAAATAGAATAATAATTGAGTTTTGTAATTATGACCGAAACCATTTATATAACATCTCATACATAAATAATATATTTTTTAAAATTAATAAAATATGTGACCGTTTAGTTATGTAACACTAAAATAAATGGTAAGTATTACAAACTGTTTATTTATTTATTAAAACAAAATAAACTTAGCTTTAATTGATTTTTTTTTCTTTTTTGGCAAAGATGATTTTTTATCTATTTGTAAAATGAATATTTCGATTATAAACACAAAGTTCAATAAATCAGCTACGAAGTGTTTTAAGGAAGAATTCCTTCGTAATTTTGTGAAACTAAACATTGTTGTTTAAAATATGTGATTGGTTGGTATGTGAAATTATGGATAATTCCGCAAAATATGTGATTGGTTGGCAGAATCCTCCTCTCCTCTGCTTTAGCAACAATGCAAAACACAACCGACATTGTACATGTCAAATTCAATTAGAATATCTCAAACTCAATGAGACAATTCAATACAGCTCCAAAGCCACCAATATAGGCAAAAAGGCATATTTCAATTCCATCCATTTCCAATTAGAAGAAAAAAGAGAAATTAAATTAATAAATTTTTAAGTGAAATTAAATTAATAACTTAGGCCGTATTTGGTACACCGGATAAGATTAATAATACGGACTACGATGTTTGGTGTTCGTTCATATTAGATAGCCACCGGATTAAATAATGCGGGCCCACTTGTTTTATACGGTAAGCACCCATTTTCTTATCCCCTCTAAAACCATGGTACAATTTAGTCGGCTTCCTGAGAACGCACCCTCGCTATCTCCTTCCTCCTGAAAACGCACTCTCACACTCTCCTTCCTCTCCAACCGCACCAGTCCTCTCCAGATGAACCACTCCCAAGTTTGTCTTCTCATTCTTCTTCTTCTTCTTCCCAGGTTCTGCCCCTCACTGTATTCTTCTCCCTCCTTCTATTTTTCTTGCAATTTTTTTTCAATTGTTTGAATCTAGTTATTGTTTTATCTGTAATTATGTAATTTTGTGTTTTAATTAGAATTTTCGAATTTAGGATTTGTTGTTGGGGTTGAATACCTGAGACTCGAAGCTCTCAAAGGCCATTTCTTTTTTTCTTGAATTCTTGCGATTCTCTTATCCAAAACCTTCGAACCATTTTATGGAATTTCGATCCCAACCCACCGAGTGGAAGAGAAAGAGGACAGACTCTGCATGTTTGGGTGATGAGATTGGCATCCATTGGGAAGAAAACCCTGCAATGGAGCAACATTGGAAGAAGGGCAACTTGAATGAGAAGTATGATTAGTGTTTGAGATGTGAAACTCGTCATCTTCACGAGCAAGAAAAAGAGTTTGTGAGAATTTGGGCATATGTTTTTGATAGAGATTAATGCGTTCTACAACTTGAATGAGAAGTATGATCAGTATTTGAGATGTGAAACTTGTCAAAAAAAAATTTTCTTCCCCTTTCTTATCCGATTCAGTACTAAACACAGTATAAATAATACGGTCATTAGTCTGATATTGCACCAAACAATTGATTAATTTAATCAGTACTATCCGATATCTATTTATCCTATCCGACAAAAATAATCAGTACAGTACGAGCTGCCAAACGAGGCCTTAGAACTTCCTTTGCTTGCGTTGGTTGTGAAGATATTGCTTTTTATGTTGTTGTGGGATTAGTTTTCTAGTAATGCTTGTTAGTCACACAAATTAACATACTTACTAATACACATTTAAATATAGGTAGGTCTCGTACATAATGATAAGGTATATTAGAGATCGTGTTAATATTTTTGTGTGTTTAAATAAATTTATTGTTTTTAATTTACACTACCATGTACCCTACAAAAAGTGGTTGTTTGTGTTCATGTGTCGGGTTCGTACGTGTCCACACGAACACGACTAACTAGGGTCAAGCGGAACACATGATTACTAATTGTTTTCTTTTTTCAAACCCAAACACACAACTCGATTATTAAACATGTTAATGTTCATAAGTACAAGAACTAACCAAAAAGTATATTGTCTACATCAAATAAACAGGATAAAGCTGCCATTTAATCATTAATTTACATGGGTTCTTTCTTGTTATTCAAGTTATATTGGTTATATACGAATTACCAGAGTTATATGAACATGCTAAAGCGTGTTATTTTCAAATTAGGTGGATTGAATCGAAACACAAATTGTTTGTTAATTATGTTAAATAGGTTGACACAACAATGACGCGAACATGATAATAGCCAACTTGAACTTGTTTTATCGTATTGTTTTTGAGTCAAGTTGTTTTCTTGTTTTGTTAAAGCTCAAATGTGGGAGGTCAGCAAATGACCAGTGCAGTTAACCCTTGGTGGGTATACTATAGTACTGTAAATATGAAAACCACAATATTAAATGGTTCGCCCGAATAAATGGACAAGTCCATTAAGAATGTATGCTATACATTTGTTGGGTGGTGTTACGCAATATCTCAACCGAAAGTAGTAGAAATCTTTTCCCTCTCTCTCTTGGATCCACTACAAAAAATATGGTCAGTGTGCACAAAAAGTTATTTGTGCCCTATAAGGTCAAAGGGCACCAACATATGTGTCCATAAAGCAATCATAACAATGCAGCAACTAAACTATATATGTGCCTTCTATAAGCGTGCCCTTTGATTAGAGGGCACGATACAGCCATGTGTGCTCAAAGAGTTGCGCACAAATAAAGTTTTTTTTGTGCCCTGTTCTAACACCTGTGTCAAATGCTATTGTGAACACGAAAGTTCCTTGAAACAAGAAACAAGAATAACGTGTACAAAATAATATTTTTTTGGTTTGATGATTTTGGGGTTACGATCTCTCTCAAATTTGGTCCTCTGATTCTATCTTCGTAGGGTGTAGGTTTGTGGATGAGTTGTTGATCCAAAGGGCCGTCGGGGCTTGATCTAAGGATGAACAGTTGATGAACGGATGAACACTTTCTTCAAGGGCCGTCGGGGCTTGATCTTGAATAATGGTTGTGTGGATTTCTTCAAGGGCTTTTGGGCTTGATCTTGAAGGTTGATGGATGAGCGGATCTTCAAGGGCTTTTGGGCTTAATCTTGAAGAACGATTGGATGTGTGGATTTGTTGAGGTTGTTGATCCAAAGGGCCGTTGGGGCTTGAGCTTAGGATGAACGGATGATGAATGATGAACACTTTCTTCAAGGGCCGTCGGGGCTTGATCTTGAGTTGGTGGATGAGCGGATCTTCAAGAGCTTTTGGGCTTGATCTTGAGGAACGGTTGGATGTGTGGATTTGTTGATGTTGTTGATCCAAAGGGCCGTTGGGGCTTGATCTTAGGATGAACGGATGATGAACAATGAACACTTTCTTCAAGGGCCGTCGGGGCTTGATCTTGAAAGAGGTTGTGTGGATTTCTTCAAGGGCTTTTGGGCTTGATCTTGAAGGTTGATGGATGAGCGGATCTTCAAGGGCCGTTGGGGCTTAATCTTGAAGAACGATTGGATGTGTGGATTTGTTGAGGTTGTTGATCCAAAGGACCGTTGGGGGCTTATGCTTAGGATGAACGGATGAACACTTTCTTCAAGGGCCGTCGGGGCTTGATCTTGAAAGAGGATTTAACGAAGAACGAAGAGAGCTTTCTTGATCCTTCGGAATTCTTGGGAATTTGGATGGTTGGAAGCTTTGGAGTTTCAAAGCTTCAAGGATTTGGGGAATTCCTCTTCTAATTTTGGAGTAGAGAAATGTATTTGTGAATTCCTTGATGCTTGATACCTTGATGGAGAAACCTATTTATAGGCTTTGAGAATGAATCACCACCACAAAAATATTTTTTTCCTTTCCAAGCACCATTGCCTAATTTTCCCACTTAATGCAATATTGAAATTGAAGTGGTGTAACTTATGGCCTAATTTCCCACTTAATGTCATTTTAAACTTGAAGTGGTGTAACTTATGGCCTAATTTCCCACTTAATACCATTTTAAACTTGAAGTGGTGTAACTTATGGCCTAATTTCCCACTTAACACCATTTTAAACTTGAAATGTGTATGCTTTGTCATTGCCCAAATGAGAAAAAACTTGCTTTGATCCGTAATGGATTGAAGTGTGCTTGCCTTGTCATTGCCTAACATGAGAAGAAAAACTTGTTTTGATCCTCAATGGATTGAAATGTACTTGCCTTAATCCTTCAAGGGTATTTCTTCCTATTTTGTTGAGTCACACGCCATGTGTACAATTTGTACAACACGTGGCGTATGCCATGTATGCCTTGACACGTCAAAACTTTAATGCATTGGTGAACATTTGTTTTACTGAAATTTCGATGTCTACAAATGCCCCCACTTCAAGGCGCGTCGTAGACATGTGCTTGACACGTGTAGAAGATGCGTTTTGAAGTCCCTTAATGTAGATGTCAACCCAAGGGCCGTCGAGGCTTGATTTTGAATTGGGCTGGAAATTTCTTCAAGGGCCATTGAGGCTTGATCTTGAGTTCGACTGGAAGATTTTCTGGTTTCCTCCAATCGTTGATTTTCCACAGGCTTAGTCTTGAACTGGGCTGGAGGATTCTTTTGGTATCCCCCGAAGGTCTGAACTTACTCCTTTTATCTGGAGTTGAATTTGATTCAAGGGTGGATAACACTTGATTTTGAATCGGGCTTGTGATTTCTTCAAGGGCCATCGAGGCTTGATCTTGAATTGGGCTGGAGGATTCTTTTGGTCTCCCCCGAAGGTCTGAACTTACTCCTTTTATCTGGAGTTGAATTTGATTCAAGGGTGGAGAACACTTGATCTCGAATCGGGCTTGTGATTTCTTCAAGGGCCATCGAGGCTTGATCTTGAATTGGGCTGAAGGATTCTTTTGGTCTCCCCCGAAGGTCTGAACTTAC